TCACTTTTATTAGAAGTGTGATAAAAAAAAATTAGATTGATATTTTAATCACACTTAATTTAATTGAGTGTGATAATATTTATTTTTTATATCACTTTTTAATTAAGTGTGATTATATATATATATATATATTTAATTAAGTGTGATTATATTTAGTATTTATTTATATATATGTATATATATGGTAATATCCATAGTTGAACAAATCAAACCCCCTCTCTCCCCGTCTACCCCTCTCACCCTCTCACCCTCTCACTGCTCACTTAGCAATAACTAGGGTTTTATTATCTTTCTCTCCCTTGTAGAAACCCTAGCGTTGAAACTCCCATCCCCAACAACAACAATCACCATCAGTGTTGGATCTGCCATCACCGATCCGCTGCTGTTGCCCGTCGCGCAGCACCTCCTTTTGCTGCAGAACCACCACCTCAGTGTCGGCGATGGCAGATCTTGAAGGATGACCAAACCCTAGAGAGCTATAGGTAATTAAACACCCTAACTATGTTTTGTATGTATTTTACAGTTCTTTAGATGAATGTAAATATTCTCAGTTATTCCATCTTTTTTCATCTTCATCTTCTTCTTCTTCTTCTTTTTTCTCTCTTTCTCTCTAGATTTTACAGGAATAAATTCATTCTTAGGTTAGAAGATCCCATTAGATTGAGTTTGATTTGATTTCACTTTGTTATGTTTCTTGATCAATTTCATGCTAGTCTATTGAAATCTGTATGTATCTATTGATTTCTTGTTCTTGCTTGGGGTTTGTATGATTATAAATTTGATCTTGGGAACTCAAAGCTTGTTAGGGTTTTTGATAATTTCTCTTAGAAATACACAGATATGATCTTAGACGCCATACTGTTGATGGAAATAATTTGACAGTAAATCTGTGTAGTGTGGTTGGCAGTTTCTATTGAGAGATGAAATGGTGATGTTGTCGGATTACCTTGGAAACAAAAGAATTGACTTAATAAATTATTCAATATTTCTAAAGCAATATTTTATTTTATTCTATTTAAAGATTGACACTTTATTTTTTAAAATTTTAACACAAAAATAATAGATTTCATAATTTAAACTAATAACTACTCATTTAAAACACTACTTAAATTTGCTTTAGAAACATTAAATAATTTCTCGATTGACTTAGGAAATACTCAAAAAAGTATACGAGTAGTTGCTAGCATTGATATAGTAATGTTTCAACTAATTCTTTGAAGAGGAAACGTGGGCATTAAAAAGTGTGCATGCGCCATCTGTTGTTCTCTTTGGATTGTGTTGGCAAGTAAAATGGTTATCATTGCATATTTCCCTTGCACATTTCAATTTTCTAATCAATTTTCATTTTTCCCTTGCACATTTCAAGATTTCATGTGAATTTTGAGTTGTGGTGGTTCCTAATTATAGATTTCTTTTTTAATTAGTTCTTCAAAACCAGAGGTTTGTGACTCATGTATGGCCCTATGAGTTCATGAATTCAAGATTTAGCTTAACCAAGTAGCATGAAATGCCATAGAGCTGAGGGACAATGATTTATAGGTCTTGGTGTAGCTTATTGACCTAGTGTCATATGCGCATGGCTTAGGAACAATTGTCTCAGTCTTATCTTCATTACTTTAATTCCTTTTCTTTATTTTTGTTAATATGTATTTATATTTTTTATAATTTTTTTTCTAGGGGTTGTTCTGTTTCCAGAGGCTACCCTTCCTCTAAGAGTTATACAACCTAACTTTATAGCTGCTATTGAAAGAGCTTTGTGCCAAGTTGATACTCCTTATACCATCGGCGTGGTTTGTGAAGTCATTGACAGCTCAATAGTTATTTTCTTTGTGCCTAGGATTTGTTTCACTAGCCTTTTATCTCAATGTAGCATTATTTGTAAAATTTTGTTCAGGTTCATAGGGATCCTGATAATGGGAGGATGAGGTTTGCAATCGTTGGGACGACTGCAGAGGTATGAGTCAAGAACCTGCCACTCAGGTCTTTTACTGCTTACTGCTTATTTATTTTTATGTTATAAAGTTTTATGACTTTTTTGTGGGCATATTTAATTTAGAACAAAATTTTAGCACCTCTAAAGTATTGACAACATCAAACTCAGTCTTGTTAGATGTTTATCAAATGTTAGACACAATCCAAGATGCAATGTGTCTTTATTCATATGTATTTCTTTTATTATCTAATTAATAGTCAAATGGACAATGATTATTAAGTATCAAATTTGAATCCCTGTGCTGAATTATGTTATTTCACAGAGGAGTTATATACCTTCTGTTGCAAAAACTTGCTCTTTTTGTAAAATATTGTGTTGGTTTACAATTCAATGTTTGTCATTGCGGTTTGCTATGTAGAGTGCATGATTATATGCTGTCATTTTTTAAGTATGTCAAGACTCAGGAGCATTGTTTTATAAAATTACAGTTGCTTTTATGTGAGAGAACTCCTCTTTAACTGGCCTGTGAAAATGAAGGCTCTAAGTGGTCATTGCATTATCTTCTCCTAATCTCTCTAGATCTTTACATCTATATTGTTATGCTTATATATCATACCAACTTATTTGCATACTATCACGGTGGAACTCTTTTTTTGGCTTAATAATTTTCTTCTGATTTTTATTTTTTTACATCTGTATGTAAAACGTTTGCATGTATATTCTTCTGAATGCATATCACTACAAGAAAATCAAGTTTTAGCAGCGTTTTTTATTGTAGTGGCTCGAAAAATGCTGCTATAAATGAGCTATTGTGACGGTTGTTGACTGCCATTAAACATAAAACTTTTACTCGCATTTTTTTCTTAAAGCGTTGTTATATATTTTTTTGCAGTAACGGTTTGAACACAACCGCTACAATAAACCAAGCAAAATAAAGGCGCCAAACAAATTCTAATTTTGCGCTTATCAATTTTTTATTTTTTTTGGTGAATAACATATCAAAATCAGTCCCAAAGAAACCCTTCAACTCCTTGATTTCAATTTTGTGCCCTAATTTATCAGCACGTCTTTCACGAAGTATCTCGTTCATCCTCCACCGATGTATTGACGACATCAAGCTACAGCACCACTATGATTTCAAGGTCAGTCTGTTCTCTCTGTTTTTCTTTCTCTACCTCTCTCGTTCTTCTGGTCTCTCGGTTTCTCCTCTACCTCTCTCTCTTTCTTTTAGTCTCTCAGTTTCTCTTTTTTTGCTTTCACTGTCTTCGGAGAAGTTTGGGTACTTGCCATTCCATTTATATTGCTTCTAATATCTCCAAAATTTCTCTATTTTGAAGCATTTCATGAACATCTTGAATGATTTTGATTTGGGAAAATAATTTAGAAAATAAATTGATTAACTGTATTCTGATTATGATATTCACACACACACACACACACACACACATATATATTTGATCATCTATGATATTCATATTTTAATCAATATAATTAGTGAAGTGAAATCTCATGCTTCTAATTATGAATATCAATGAGGAATCATTATGTATGCTAGGTATTTGACAAAATGCCACAATGGAGCAATAGGGCCTACCATTTTCTTTATTGGTTGTTTTTGTTTTTGTTTTTGTTTTTGTTTTTGTTTTTGTTGAGAAAATTGTTGTCCATGAATTTAATGCACAGTTTGTAATGTTTTATTGGCTTAATAATGTGATTAGAGGAAATTCAACATTTGTGTATGCCATTTTTTTGTTGAATCTAAAGACACATTTCTTGAAGGAAGTTACCAGCCATTTTCATATCACTAAAGGCCTCCAGTGCTTCCAATATATGGATTCTCTGCATTACATAAAAAATGTATAAGTATTTACTTGAAACTAACATGAACATGTATACATCTACCTTCTTAAGCTTTAATAGCCAAACTGAAACAACAAAAAGTACAAGACATTTTCATAATATAGCATTCAAAAATTAAATTATGACATCCATTTTCTGCTATCTAGGACCTCTATACAAACATTACGAGTCAAAACATTTTTATTGAATTACAAGCATCCAAGCCCATGCTCCTCAAAGCATTTGACGTAAGGAGCATTGTGGTAGTAGTTTCAACTGTAGACATAAAGTCCATGTGCTTCCCTTTCAGCAAGAGGAAAATAAAAAAAAATAAAGGGAATAGAAAAAAAAATTATGTATTAGTTGCCAACCTAATACATGCTAAGAAATATATATAGGCCATCCTAAGAAATATTTAAGATTTTTTAGCCTTTTAGGGTATGTTTCCTTTTTACATATAAGAAGTTCAAGAAGGCCTCCAATGCTTCCAATAGATGGATTCTCTGCATTACATAAAAAATGTATCAGTATTTACTTGAAACTAACATGAACATGTATACATCTACCTTCTTAAGCTTTGATAGCCAAACTGAAACAACAAAAAGTACTGGATATTTTCGTAATATAGCATTCAAAAATTAAATTATGACACCCATTTTCTGCTGTTTAGGACCTCCATACAAACATTACGAGTCAAAACATTTTTATTGAATTACAAGTATCCAAGCCCATGCTCCTCAAAGCATTTGACGTAAGGAGCATTGTGGCAGCTACACTGAAAGAATGCCCCCCAACAGTGTATGCTGCCTGTAAGACAATCACTAATTAAAGATTTAATATATGTACATATTTAGTAATTGTGTGTACCAATTCTTGTGTGATGTTTTTTAGAAAAACAAAAAAACACCATGGTTAATATCAGTGCAAAATCTAGAGTATTCTCATACAAATGAAAAATATTTTCATTGATCTCTTAAAAAGATTTGACTCAAGAATTTGAAACATGTTCCTCACAAGTCTTCACCAACTTGACAGGAAGAGATGGCAAATTCGTATTAAAACAAACAGATAATGACCCTAAATCTACGGCTTCATAACCTAATGCTCTAAATACCGCCCTGTCATATCTCCAACCCCACACTTTTGGGAGTTGTAAATATGACCAGCCACCAAGGCCTCTTATGGAACCAAATGAGTTGAATACTTGCTTAATAGTGACAATTTGGTTAGTGTAAGCGTAACTAATTAACTTGTAAGCGATCAATATTGTGTAACCATAATCAGATCACAGCTTGAATCAAAATTCACATCTCAACCCAAAACCACACAAGTATATTATAAACTTATTACATTGCTTCTCCTCATGTCCCAACTAGGTATAAACAAAGTAAATATTTTACACTTATCGCCTATACTGAACTCGTATAAATAGGACATAGAATAAACACAAATTATATACTACAAGTTCACATACCTAGGAATCTACCCAGAATTCTAAGGTCATCATTTCACCTAAGGTTTGACCATACCACAAGTACATCTAAATTATAACAGACGTAACCACTCCACCCAAAATGACCCTAAACCTAGGGTTTCATAACATATTTCTCTCAAACCATTGTAAGGTTTGTGATATGTCAACACATATAAATCATCAATTATGCCTAATCACCACACTTAGATTTAATTAATCCCAACTTAGGCTCAATTTAACTTATTTTAACACATCCTTATACTTTGTTTGTCTATCCTCAACAATAGACAAACAAAATGTGACCCTGTTTTCCTTGAGTAATCTTTCCTAAATACAAATTGGTTAACCATAATTAGGGTTTAGACCAATGACCAAGGGTTAAGACAAGATCAGATCACTTTGTATCAAAGCCCAGAACATAACCAATCACAACATAGGTTAGGTTAATTAACCATGCTATAATCACACTTAACTGAAAACAAGTTTTAAGTTAATTAAAGACATTAATTAGAAATTTTTATCAAAGCTCATTAAGAAAATTATTTAGCTTCAAAAATCTACATATTAAGGTTTCAAGGATTTCCTTGCTTACCAATAAAAGTAACCTTTTACACTACTAATCTCAGAAACACAATTAAAGCAAGAATGACACATAATTAATCATTTTTTTATATAAGAGATTATAAGATATAACATATAATAAAAGATAGTAGAGCTGGGATGTTGCAATAACCCTAAAATCACAAAATCTTCAATTGAGCTTAATAGAGGCCAGTGTCGATTGTTCATGTCATCTACAATGGATTCAGTGAACGTAAGTAGGAGATTTTTTTTTCTATTTTTATTTTTATTTTTATTTTTATTTTTATTTTTATTTTTATTTTTATTTTTATTTTTATTTTTATTTTTATTTTTATTTTTATTTTTATTTTTATTTTTATTTTTATTTTTATTTTTATTTTTATTTTTATTTTTATTTTTATTTTTATTTTTATTTTTATTTTTATTTTTATTTTTATTTTTATTTTTATTTTTATTTTTATTTTTATTTTTATTTTTATTTTTATTTTTATTTTTATTTTTATTTTTATTTTTATTTTTATTTTTATTTTTATTTTTATTTTTATTTTTATTTTTATTTTTATTTTTATTTTTATTTTTATTTTTATTTTTATTTTTATTTTTATTTTTATTTTTATTTTTATTTTTATTTTTATTTTTATTTTTATTTTTATTTTTATTTTTATTTTTATTTTTATTTTTATTTTTATTTTTATTTTTATTTTTATTGTGTTTTATGTTTACATTATGTTTTTATTTTTATTTTTATTATGTTTTTTAGATCGATTGTTTTTTTTTCTGTTTGTATTTCTATTTTTTGTTTTTATTTTTATTTTTTTTTCTGATTTCATCTCTGTTTTGTATTTCTATTTTTTGTTGTTGTTTGTAACCATTGATGCACAAATTAGTGTTTATGGAAATTAAACTAGTTAGAAACATTGATTGGTTCTACTTCAAAGCACAAAAGTGTCGAAGATGTCTAGGATTTAAAGCCTGAAAGAGGTTGAGTTGATGTCCAGGATTTCTGACCTCTCGGAGCTTATTTTTTATTTCTGCTTTTTAATGTGTTTTTTGTTGATGGGTTTTCATTTTTAACGCTATTCAATCCAGTTTCAAGACTCAATTTTTTTTTTGTCTGATACTTTCATCGAATACCTAGGCTGCATAATTTGTTGATGTTTGAAATTTTTTCTCTACTGCATTGTGTGAGCGTCTTTGCCATAAAATTTAATGGTTTCAGAGTGTGTTTCTGTGTTAATTGGAAGATCCAGTTGCATATTGAATGTTTTTATTGATGGGTTTTCCTTCATGTTGTAATTTTATTTGATCCAGTTTGAAAGCTTTTAGTTTTTTTATTTTTATTTTTTGTTCTTGCATCAAATACTTGGACTGTGTTGAGCTTTGAAAATGTTTCTGTAGAGCATTGTGTGAGTCTCTTTGTCATAGAGTTGAAAGAGTTTCAGAGTTTGTTGATGTGTTAATTAGAAGATCAAGTTTCATATAGTTACTTTTGGTTCTAATCAACTTGATCTTTGAGTTTTGTTGTGGTGTTTGTTCATTTGTTTACATTGTATATAATTTATTGAGGTTCTTTGTTTGGTTCTTAAGTTATGAATATTGAAATGGTAAGTATATCAATTCGAACCAAAAGAGAGATTGCATAAATAGTAATTTTTTTTTAGAAAGTAGGAACTAGGAACTGCTTGCATGTTGAATTTCTGTTTTACAATGCTCTTTACCTTTTTCTTTTTATTCCCTCTTCTTTACCTTTTTCTTGTTGGAATTGATTCAGCACTATTGTTGATGTGTGTTTGCTTGGAATGGATGATGTTTGCTTAGAATGGAGGATGTTTGCTCCAGTTTATAATGGAATGGATGTTGTTTACTTGGAATGGGTGTTGTTTTTACTTATATTGTTTACAGGTTTACAGGAATGGAGTTGCTATTGGAATGGAAATGCTAGTGGCATAGGATGTTTACAGGTTTTCAGTTTATGGAAATGCTAGTGGAATAGAATGGAAATGCTAGTGAAATGAAAGTTTAATTTGGAATGGTTTACAGTTTAAAATTTGAAATGAAAATGTAATGTCTATATTTTTTTTGTTATTTAATTATTTAAATCCGTGGTCCTAATGTGCTCAACATATCATTAAATATGGGAGTAACAAGGACAATCCTCTTTGGTAGCTTTTTCCTTTGTTTAGAAATTAGTAAAGCATAAGACTTAAAATCAACAATAATGATTATTATAATCACTGTGTATTTGTAATAATATGATTTTACTGACATAATGCACCCAAGTTGGTCTAAGACTATGAGAACTGAGAAGATGATTGTCAATTGATGTATTTCAATCATTAGAATTCTGTTAGGACTTGTGATTGCTTTAGTTGTATGTATTGCTGTTTTCTATTTTAAATTTTTTTTTTTTATAGAATTTTAGGGATAAACTCTTGGGCTGAAGTTTTTACTATATGGGCTAGGGTAGTTTCATATGGTAACTACGTATTATTAGGGCCTCTCATGAGAAAATGAGATGATGCCTTTGAAAAGGAATTAAAATTGAAATATTTGGAAGAGATGCGCTCTTCTTCTCTCTGCTTCTTGGCTTTTTTTCTTCTATGTTAAATTAAATCTCTTTACTCTCTTTCTTCTCATATTTTTATCTTCTCTTCCTCCCTCATCTCTTGTTTGTATCTTCTCTCTGTCCCAGGCTGTCTTTTGGGTTTCCAAGTCTGAGAATTTGAAGGTATTTTAAAATGGTTTTTGGTTCAAGCTTCCTACCCATGACCGACCGTGAACTTGTTAAAACAATAGATTTACACCCACAACCGAACCACAGCACATGCAAAACTGTCCGTAGCTCGTCGGGTGGGTTCGGATTGGACGGTTTGCCGGGTCTCCAGGTTAGATGAACAGCCCTACTTTTTTATCATTGCTTTTTTTCTAGGCAATGCTTGTACGATTTTTCTTTTTCTTTTTCTTTTTTTATTCCTTTTTTTTTTTTTGTTGTTGGTATGAATGTATGACAGGTTAAAGAAGAACAAGTGCAACTTCAAATGCAATGGTAATACCTTAGGTAATTGATGTATTTGCATCAGGAGTAAAACAGTTGTTTAAGTAGATCATATAATACCATGTGAAATGGTAGTAGATAGGTATTTGTCAATCATTTTGATAATGAGAAATTTTGAAGACTCTTTTGATGTGATTTGTGTTAGTGGAATGATCATTTGGTACTGGTAGTGATATCAAGAAATTTATCAAAGTGATAATGTTGGGGATATTTTGGCTTTTGTTTGTGAGTTTTGATTTATTTTTAGTTTATTTGTGTTATGTGGGAAGTGTAAGTAGTTGAATTGTTTGTTTGTTTTTTTTAAATTCTCAGTGATAAATGTACTATGTTATTGTATGAACAGTACAAAACTAAGTTATTTGTAGCCACTGCAAGTACCAGTTAATGCATTATTTACCAAGCTGATATATATATACTTTAATTCTCGTTGTTTTTATGACTACAAGTTGCATCATGCAATTTTGGATTTTTATTTTTATATTTTTTTAAACCTGTTTTCATTATTCATATTGATCATCAAGCCATCCAAATTTTCCCTTGTATGCAGAATGGCAGTGCTGCTCCAAAGTCACGCATTCCTCAAATGGTTGCTCAAACACTGGGTTTTGGCCAAAACTTGCTGCTGCTGGTGATAGTAATTGCACCCCCCAACAAAAAAAAAAAATGGAGTAAATTCTTGAGTTTTTATTTATTTATTTATGGGTACCTAGAATTATGGTTCAACAGTAATAATAATATACATTCACAAAAAGATCGTACACAAGCTGTATTGAGATTTATCATTTTTAAGTACTGTGCTCATTTTTGACCTCCTAATTACAATGTCATTGACACTGAGCTCTTATGGCATCTAACTGTTAACAGGGAAGTTACTTCCAAAATGATTAAGATCAAGCAGAAATTATTAATGTTCTTATTTTGATTTGCTGAATTAACTTTTTAGTTTATTTATATGCATCAGCGGTTTCTGAATTAATTTGTGTTTTCATTTTTCAGGTCAAAATTTTTTTGGAGAGATGCAAAATATGGTCCAAGAATTAAAGAACTTAGTTTTTTAAGTTTTTTCATTTTTTAATATATGTAAGCACAGATAATTTTTTTTATTTAATTCCTTTGTATATAGTTTTGAATATTTAATTTCCATTTATGAAATATATGACGTTATTCTATTCAATATGTGGTTATGATTCAAAATATAGTATGTAGTGTGTATTACATTATTCAAATGTGCATACAAAAATAATATTGATTATTTTTCAAATATGTAGCACCTTTTTTTTATCACAGATTTTATTAGTTATTAATCACACTTAAAAGATGTGATGTAAATATTTTTAATCACACTTAAAAGGTGTGATCTAAATGTTATTAATCACACTTAAAAAGTGTGATTAAAAATGATCATTTTTAATCACACTTCCAAAGATCACACTTAAAAGGTGTGATCAAAATATTTTTAATCACACTTAAAAGGTGTGAACTAAAGTTTTTAATCACACCTAAAAGGTGTGATCTAAATATTTTTATTCACACTTAAAATGTGTAATCTAAATGTTTTTAACCACACTTAAAAGGTGTTGTGATGAAAGTATTTTTTAATGACACTTAAAAAGTGTGATTAAAAATGACCATTTTTAATCACACTCCTAAAGACCACACTTTAATAAAACTTAAAAGGTGTGATTAAAAAACATACATCACACCAAAAAAGTGTGATCTTTATCTATATTTGTAGTAGTGCATTAATTATAACACCATCCATTTGTTGTACATAACTGATTTGATCATATAGTTATCGATATCCGATCAATGTGATTTTTTGCAAACATATAGTACTCGACGATTTCTACACATTGAACGGTTCAGATTATCAAAACGGGACCCGTGATGACCCCCATAGGACGAACAACGGTGTGTGTAAAAACCACACCCAATCGTTTCTTTTTTCTCCACTGCCGCACACAGCAGCTGCACACACACATCAATTCGGTGTGTACTTTTTTTTGAAGAAAATTGATTTTTTAATTATTTTTTTTGGTGAATAGTGATATCTTTTTGGATTTTGGAGTAACTTTTTAACTTTTTAACTTATTTAGGATAAGCCAAACCAGCCCTAAATTATTCACTCTGTTAGACATATAGTTCAATCACATGCTCTAATGTCACCAAACAAACACTTCCAAAGTGATGAAATCTATTCCTTCTTCTTAAAAAAAAAAAAAAAAAAAAAAAAAAAAAAAAAAAAAAAAAAAAGAAGTAAAATGAAAATTTATTTATATTTAGTGGGGAGAAAAAATAAACAAAGAGTTTTTTCTATAATCAAATATTCGGGAAAAAAAAGGGGGATAAAGAGAGATATTCACACTTCACATTCCATGAAATTTTGTCAAAATGTCACTTGGGTACAAGGTTTTTAAGCCACTTTTCTGAGTTTGTAACAAAAGTCAAAAGTTAATTTTTTTATATTTAAAGACATTTGAAAAGTTGGTTTTTAATCATCGGTGAAATTACAATTCTATCCCTCATAGATCAAAATATGTTACATAGGTGAAGTTGTAAATATTTTAAATTGAATGTGGGTAGTTTAGTCATTTCATTGTGATTTGATATTATAAACAAATATTAATAAAAAAAAAGGTCAAAAAAAAACTTTTTACCAACTTTCCAAATCATTTGTCTGAAAAATTCAAAAACTTAGTTAAAAACCAAAAAATCACTTTTTACCATCTTCCCAAAATAACCCTTTGTGGTTGCATAATAGTTTATTTTTGGGATAATTATATAAAAAATTTCAAAGTTTAACTCTAGTAATTAAATAAATTCTAAATTTTAATTTAAAATTTTATTTTATTTTTAATTTAAATCATCTATCTATTTTCATTAAAGAAAACTAATAAAAAAATTAAACAAAATACAGGTATATATAAAATATCCAAAATATTTTTTTTATTAATTTTACTTAACGAAAATAAATCAAATTATTAGAATTTAAAAAATTTAAATTTCAAGGTTTGTTTTATCACAGTAGTCAAATCTTAACATTTTTTTTTTTGTAATTTTTTTGTTTATTTTTCTACTGCGCAAAAATCTTCTTCTAAAGTGGTATCTTCTATTAATTACAAATATACATGTGTCTGATTATTTCTCAAATACTTAATATAAATATAAAGAGTTATGTTAGGAATCTTAAATAAATTATCAAATTTTTTACTAGATCTCTTACATGAGTGTGAGACCCACCTATATATGATTTGGGAGGGTTGCACACCCATATAGATGGTGTTTGGAAAGTGAGTTTTTATGTAGGTTTTTTTAGATGTACAATATTATTGAAGAAAAAAAAATTATGTTTGAGAAGATAGTTGAATTTTTTTGTGGTTGAATGTGATGTTTGTGAGAGAAAAAGTGAAATGATTATGGGATTGAATGTGATATTTTGTTTGAATGTGTTTTTTTTAATTTTACAAAATTTTTGTCTTTTAGTGAAAAAAATGAGAAAAAACCCAACTACAATTCTTCCCAAACACCACACAGATTTGATAAAAAATTTAGAGTTCATAGTATTGGCCTAAATATAGTAGTGTTTTGAAAAGTTAATAAAAAATTTGACTTTTTGACAATTTTTTTACTTTTTAATGACTTTTTTAACTAAAAAATTAATTTTTTTAATTTTTTTTTTTTTATATAAAAAAATTAAAAAGTCAAAAAAATAACTTTTTATCAAATTGTGAAATAACCTCATAATAGACCCTACAATCAATCTAATCGTATCAAAAATTCCTCCATAATTACAATAGGTAACAAATCATACAAATTTAAATTAAGAAAACAACTCTGGTCTCTTAGGGAGAATCGAACCCTTAACCTCTCGCCACTCCACGCCCAGTGGTCATTTGTTTGAATGCCTTTTCTCGAACCTTCCACATTTCTTCTGATCCTTCTGGACAAGTCTCTTTTCTCTCTCTCAATCAAAATGGTCATAGAAAACCACGCGAAGAATAGACTTCAACAACACAGAAGACTACTATGCGAGCCACTAATAGCAATTGAGGAAGCTTGATAATCATCATCATCAGAAGAGAGAGAAAGAGAAAGAGAAGTGAACTCAGAGGAGGAGAAAAGATGGGGGTGGATTACTACAAGATATTAAACGTTGATAGAAACGCAAAAGATGATGATTTGAAAAAAGCTTATAGAAAGCTTGCCATGAAGTGGCACCCTGATAAGAACCCTAACAACAAGAAAGAAGCTGAGGCCAAATTCAAGCAGATCTCTGAAGCTTATGAGGTCGGTCTAATCGTAATAATAAATACCCATCTCTCTCTCTCTCTTTCTCTCTCTGTTAATGAATTATTTCATGATCTCTGAGACCCATGATTTTTGTTTTACAATATTTTTTATTTTCAAAATTTTGGCATATTTATGAAGGGCTGCAGGCTAGGGTTGTCTAATTGTTAAGTGTTTTTGTATGGGACACGGACATTCAACACACCACAGATATCTAAAATGCACTCAAGCATTTGCACAATCAACATTTAATTGCATTTCTTTTGTAGAACATTAAATATTTGAGATGGATAGAGCCTCTTAAATTAAGTTGTTGGTTATAGTAAAGTTTCTGTTGAACTTGCAATTTCTATGGGTAAAGTGACATTTTGTTTTTACATACTTTATGTCACGGTAGAGGTATTTAATGTTAAGACATTTGAAGGGGTTTGATTAGTCAGACTTTATCTTTTGTAAGACTAGAACAATCTCTACAAATAGTTAGTTTATTCATATGCCTCTAGTGGTTTCTGAATTAATTTGTATTTTTATTTTTCGGGTTAGAAATTTCTTAGAGAGATGCAAAATATGGTCAAAGAATTCAAGAACTTAGTTTTTCAAGTTTTTATTTTTATTTTTGTAATATATGTAAGCACAGTTTAAATTTTTTTATTTAATTCCTTTGTATATACTTTTGAACATATTTAACTTTTATGTATGAAATATGTGACGTTATTCCATTGAATATGTGGCTATGATTCAAAGTATAGTATATAGTGTGTATTACATTCTTGAAATGTGCGTACAAAAATAATATTGATTATTCTTCAAATATGTCGAATCTTTTTAGTAATTAATCGCACTTAAAAGATGTGACATAAATGTTATTAACCACACTTAAAAGATGTGATCTAAAGTTTATTATCACATGTTTTATTAGTTTTTAATCACACTTAAAAGATGTGATCTAAATGTTATTAATCACACTTAAAAGATGTGATCTAAAGTTTATTATCACAGGTTTTATTAGTTTTTAATCACACTTAAAAGATGTGATCTAAATGTTTTTAATCACACTTAAAAGGTGTGATCTAAATGTTATTAATTACACTTAAAATGAGTGATCTAAATGTTATTAATCACACTTAAAGAGTGTGATTAAAAATGACCCATTTTAATCACACTCCCAAAGATCACACTTTAATAAAACTTAAAAGGTGTGATTAAATAACAAACATCACACAAAAAAAGTGTGATCTTTATCTGTTTTTGTAGTAGTGTTTGGGCTAAAATTCACAAAAAGAAAAACTAGACTAAAATTATTAATAAGACAAAATGTCACATGAAACTCATAATTATTTCACTTTTTCTTTCACAAATATCACATCTAATTATAAAAAAAAATCCAATCTTCTTAAATACAAAAATTTTAGCCTATTAAAATAGTCAAAAACTAAAATAATCTACTAAAATAACAACTTCCTAGACACTCACATAATGTGGTACATTGAAGGTGGTGTAAGAAGGTATAGCATCACTCATGCGTTTTTTTTTTTTTTTTTTGAACAGCAAAAAGGCCCTTTATTGATGATGATACCATACATACGTATGAAAC